CCCCTTTTCCCCCCCCCCCCTTGAAAATCCAGGAAGACTTCTGTTAACAGGTTTGGTTATGTGGGCATACGTAAAATTCGCGATTGTGTTGTGCACGCATTATTAAGGGGTGAGCGGCGTTTCTATGATCGCTTCATTCTCAGCATCAGAAACGACCGTCATCGAAGTTAATTGACCATGTGTACAACACATCTATGACAATAGTCTAGCTTTATGGCTCTAAGGCTTCTTCATTCGGGGCGCTTAAGTGGTTTCAAACTTTCGAAATTTGGTGCTTTCTCAGCGTATCTAACTGCAACGTGTTCTCATCTAGACGATAGCGTGTAATCGACTGTTGGTGACCAACCGGTCATTGGAGACGGGGGCGAGATGTTCAACAGTTAGAGCGCGAATTTACTGACCGGAAGGTCCGTGCTTGGAGCCCGACCTCTGCCTCTCGACTTCCCCTGTCTAGGCTTGGGCAACCTGGCAGTATCCCAGCCCTCGTGCTTCCTTGGTGTGGCATGGCAGCTAGGAACCGAAAGGGTGTTACAGCTGACTGGTTATCTCTATCCTCTATCAAGGTTTGGGCAACGTGGCAGTATCCTAGCCCCCCGTGCCTTTTTCTGGTGGCACGGTACTTAGGCGCTGAAAGGGTGCTACAGCTAAAGGGAATAAGGTTGCCCGGCTGACGTCGAGAGAATCGGTTCAAACCACAAGTCAGTCCAAGCATGATGGCACAACACTGGGCGCATGCCACAGTCACTTGTTCATCGCTGCCGTTACTGACATAATCATTGACATGCCGGCATCCCACTGATAACATAGTTGCTGTCGTGATTCTCTTCATGAAATGCTTTTACCAATAGGAAAGTGAAACAAGTTTCTCTTCCAGTTTTTCTGCATTTAGCAGTTAGGTCTGGGTGCGCACAAGGTCAATCCACATGTTGCACAGGTCCACATGGTCGAGGAGGACTGGGTCTTTCCTTGAGTGACCCACGTGCTTTGCAACACTGAGGCGCGTCATGCCTCGATTTTCTTCACGTTTCCGTAGACATGCGTTCTACCATTTTTGCCGTAATCAGAAATTAAAGTTGCCATTCTAGGGGTCCGTGTAGTGTTTCTTTGCATATAGTTTTTTGCTGTTTGTGTCAAATGGCCTTGTCAGCGAAGCTGTACACAACCGCAGTTTGAAAGAATATGCGTGGCGTGGTGGCTTGCCCCATCGTCATTGCTACCGATGTATTATTTTGTTATTGAAAGTTACTCAGATAACATTTTATAAGCCGAGATTCGTATGTTCCGGACGCTTACCATCAAAACTCATTGTTTTTTTTTACTTTCAGGATTGCCTTGCTCCTTTAACAATGCAAGGTCTCCCTTCCACACCCGAATCACTGTGTATCGTGGAAATGGGTGTTGGAGAACCTTCTGGTCCTACGGATGAAAATGAAAACGAAACACTACCGGCCACAGGGATTTTGTACTTGAATATCGGCCTGATCAATGGCGTCCTCTTACGCGTTATCTTGGATCCGGTGACGGGCGAGTTGTCTGATACCCGCACACGCTACTTGGGTACTCGACCAGTCAAACTATTTCGCATTATGATGCAGGGTGGTGAGGCTGTGTTATCAGTATCAAGTCGGTCATGGTTGAGTTACGCTTACCAAAATCGTTTCCACTTGATTCCCCTTTCTTATGAGGCATTGGAGTATGCTTCTGGGTTTTCATCTGAACAGTGCCCCGAGGGCATCGTTGCAATATGTAATAACTCTTTACGGTAAGTGGCTGTGCTTTACCTTTGCCTGTGTCTGTAGTAGACTAAGTCAAAGCGAATGTGACCCAATCTCAAAATTTCAGTTTGATTTCATATGGGGCCACCTAACAGCATCAAACACTTCTCCCACTACTGGAATTCGCAGTTAACAACTAGCTAACGTCCCGCCTTGGTACGCTTACCGATACAATATTGGACTTGTTTGTGAATTGAGTTACGTATGACGGTCAAAAGAATACTGGTATCAGTGAGACAGTACTCCACTCATCGTCTTGAGCGACGAACTGAACACTTCAAAAGTTCAACTGTGGACTTGTTTGTGAATTGAGTTACGTATGACGGTCAAAAGAATACTGGTATCAGTGAGACAGTACTCCACTCATCGTCTTGAGCGACGAACTGAACACTTCAAAGAACAGTTCAACTGGTCCCTTTCAACACAACCACTGAAAGAATCCAGCGGGCCCGATTGGAACAATGAAACCATTTCGCTCTCAGCAACCGAAATCGGTCGTCAGAAATTTTGGCAGTGCCTGGCGGTCAAAGGTGTCGTTTCCAAATTTCTATCCCTTATGAGGGCACTTTATACGAACTCCCGTGGGAACGTACGCACATACGGCAAGCTCTCGTTCACCACATGCAGTGGTGTAATACAAGTCTTCCCCCTCTCACATTCACTGTTTACCTTTGTCATTAATGTGGTGCTTAAAACTTCTCTGTCTGTCTCCGAAACCTCGGGGGTCAAAATGCTATTGCGACACTCCCTCACAGGAATTGAATACGCGGACCATGTTGTTCTCCTGGTTCCAGAACCATTTTACATAGCCTAAATAACTGCCTCACGGTTTGGCATGTGGTTTACACCTGCATAGTGTAAAGTGCTTCTAAAAGACTGGGTGGGACCAAAACCCAGAACTAATGTTTGCAGACTGGTCAATCAATGGGGTGGATAAATCTGTTTACCTGGGCAGCTGTATAAGTTCCGGTGGACTGGCTAGAGGTGAGATTATTTCTCGAATCGGAAAGGCCAGGACAGATGTTGCCAACCTCCGACACCTACGGCGCTGACGTTGCGTGAGTTTGTCAGGTGGAGTTGCATTGCGGCGATTCGATTCATACTGCTTTGTGGCCCCTACGCACCGACATACGAAAGATGTCGGTGTTTGACCATCGGTTTCTCCGAAGCATTAGTTATTTCTGGTGGGAGCATCGGTTTAGTAATGCTGATGTTGGAGCGAGACGGCTCAGTAGTTAGATTTACTGACCGGAAGATTCGTAGTTCAACCCCCACCTCCGCCAGTCTAGGCTTGAGCTCCCGTGATAGGTGAATTACGCTGAATCACGCTTCATACGCTGGTTAGGACATGTACCTCACATGCCAGAAGACCGTCGGTTTCACATCGCTGTCTTCACTCAGCCCTTTGTTCAGTGGAGGCGCCCGAGAGATTGACAGTGAATATATGACCTGGCAACGAAGTATGAAAACACTAACCAGTAACCAGGGCCATAACCACCTCCCTGGATGTGTACACGGGACTGAACTCAACAATGGCGCAACGGCGCAGTAAATGACAGTCGTGCACAAAAGCTATCGTTTTCAATGCGTAGCTACCCAGTTCTCGAACTAACCAAGCATACCGTCGCCTGCAATCTATGACCCACACCTTCCCCACTTTCCGGTGATCGAAACTAGCACCTTGAGCCAATGTATCTTCGGTACACAGTTTGTAGCCGATAAATAGACTTTGACTGTAACGTATGGGCACTTTGGTGCATGCTGATGCTCTAAGGATTTGTGTGTGTGGCGATTTGCTGTTGGGGTCCAAATTAAATATCCGGGTGTGAGAAACTCAGCACAATCCTAGCGCCCCTACCTCTGGTCGCCTAGCAGCTATGCTTCACACTTTGACTTCCTTTGTTGGTTTATACAACCACTGGAAATCGATTGGCCTTGAAAGGGTCTTGTTATCTTTTCATTGATCTTATATGGATGTACGAATCGCCGAGCCTTTTTATCCATTGCTTTCTAGGTACCCAGTAAAACGTTATTTGTTGCTGTTTGCCTTATCACTCGGTGTTTTCGTTCCAGCATCATGGCTTTGGAGAAACTTGGGGCTGTTTTCAATCAGACCAGCTATCCTTTGCAATATACCCCACGAAGAATGGTTTTTCATCCCGATTCCAACATAGCATATATAATCGAAACCGACCACAACGCATACACTGACGAAGTGAAGGAATTACGCAAGCGACAAATGAGTGAGGTAAGCACAACGTCTTAGTAAACCAATCCATCTGACTGGATGCAAACCGTGGAAGCCTCATGCTACTTTAGTACTTCCCACTCAATAATTGGTTTCTTTTAGTAACTCCACACGTTTAATCTTTCGTCGGAGAATTTTTTTGACTCTGGCGTTCTCTATTCGGTCCAACCGAACTTGATTAGCAGCTTACGAAACGCCTCGGCATCTGTCGTTACGCAACGACAGTCCCATAGCCAGTTTCCTTTCATCAATATGTCTCGGGTTCAACTCATTATGTACAGTAGCGATCCTTTAGAGTCAACACCCGCAGGACTCCGAAACGTCCCTACAATGAAGTCATTTGTGTTCGCGGTTCGTTATCCTACATGGGCTGTGATACTGGCAAGGCGTCGAAACCTAGACCCGAGGACGATTAAGGCCCGAGAACAAAGCTTTCGACTCAAAAGTATATCTGTGAGGCAACGCTGGTTGGCATAGGACCGTCAGGTTAAGTTGCATTCCGGAGGATCAATTCACATTTTCTAACCTCTAACCTGGGGGACCAGAAGACTCAGTATGTCTCTGAGTGTCACACGTTCAATGGATTATGGAGGTGAGCAAACCGTCACACCACGGTGAGGTCTAGTGTCTTCGTGACGGCTTTATTTTTGGGGTTTTGTTCAGATAAATTGACATGGTTGTGCGACAGTGAAGCATCAGTGGGGTTGCTGTAAATGATTACGTGGATGACTCCAGAAGCATTCAGTTTTATTGATAGTGAATGAGTTTGCAACGCTTAGCGCTTCATTGCAGCTTCATTTTTTACCCACTTATAAACGTTGGTCTTGCTTGGGTTGTTTCAGTTAGGATAAATAAGTCAAAACGAATAGCATTTGAGCTGTTTACTTTGATGGTATTAGATTCTACGGTAACAATAATATCGGTTCAGTCCGTTTCGTTTCTGCTTACCACATCTTATTCGACCTCATTACTACTTCTTGATGCCCATCCTCGTCCAACTCTGAGCCTCATTTATATCATTCAACCGAACAAATGCTGTCTCGTTTCATTTGGCATGGTGCTCAAGATGTCGTAATATAATTTCTTGGCAGAATAAATTTCCCATGATGCTGCTTTCAACCTGTTACGGTTCGGTCACGCAGCGAGCAAACAATATGATAATGCGGATTGTGGCAATACTCTATCCCCAGCTATGTTGCTTGATACAGACTCCTAGCACGGCGAATAGTAAGAAGACGAGAACCTCGGACACAAACTTTAATAATCCAACAACACACGATCAACAGGCGATGCCCGGAGCTTCCGAACCCAAGTCAGTGGAAAGAATGGTATCCTGTACGTGGTCGGATTTAAATTTCCTTGGAGTATCAATAGGCCATTGATTTTTCATAGTTTGACCTTGAAGATGCCAGGAGTTCGCTAGCACACATAAAAACAGCGTTTTCTGGGGGATATTGATATCCCCAACAAATGCTGACGGGAAGCGAATTGGTAACCGGGTACGCACGGTAGCATAATCAGAGTCAAGTTGCGTACCCAGGTAACTGATACCCACATGGTCCAATTGTGCCCTTAACCGTCTTGCGGTTGAGGCCCTCAAGCAACTCGATCTGAGTGTTTGCTCTGGAAGTTCGTACTGGCTGGGAACAGACAATGATGTGCACACAACTAAACCACTCGCTCAACGCTATCCATGCGCTGAGCATTGACTTCAAATATACCCCTTAGTTGTGCTTCTCTCGGGCTTAGTCGTCCACATTGGGCATTCATATCATGCACCCATGTCAACGGAAGAAGGCATGAGATCTGGGATACTGCCAGGTTGCTCAAACCAAGATAGCCAGAGTTCGGATTCGGACCTCGGACCTTCCGGTCAGTAAGTTCGCGCTCTAACCGCTGAGCTATCTCGTCCATCTATAATATGCAGACGACATGCTTCTAGTCTTCGAAGAGCAGAAGGCGCAGACGCCTTTGGATAAACTAATCAAAGTCCTCCGCCCCTTAAATATGCACTTTGCATGTGTGTAAGGTCATGCTACTGGACGTGCAATCAGTAAACACACCACTTACAATCCAGGTACAGGCACTAGGGATTATGGAAACAGGAGCAGTTAAGATACTGATGTTGGATTCGAACCACGGACCTTCCGGTCCGTAAGCTGGCGCCTTTACCACTGAGCTATCTCGAGCCCATCATCATCATCATTATCAAAAACAGCAATATCAATGTTGACGCTGCTGCTTCACTGCCGTACGACCACAAGGTTCGTCTAATTATATTTAAAACCCTAGATTCAAAAGAAGAGAAAAAGAGTTGATGAGGGAGGGGACCTAGTGCTGGCCTATGTCACGCATTCTGAGGTGCGTGCACCTCCGAACGCTCAATCAGACAATCTAAAGAATCTGACAACACAAAGGCCACTGACATCGATTAACCACCATTCCTTGCAGCGTCTCCAGACAAACACAAATGGGGTCACGGGGACCCCATCATTGAAGGAGTACAACACCCAAACTCTTCGTGCTCTCTTTCACGTCTTTCTGACAAGTCCTGCGCTGTCCACCTCGTGGTCTGCTTCATTTTGAAGGAGACACGATGAACAACACTCGTCTCGGTAAACGGTTTTTCGGCATGCGTGCCACATGACCGAGCCGTCGTAGTTGGTAGTGCTTTATGTTTACCCCGCACAACCTAATACCCGTTTTGTAATCACCTCGTTACTAACGCGCTAACGCCATTCAAAACCATTCATGCTTCTGAGACATCGGGGGGGGGGCGAGATGGACAGTGGTTAGAGTGCGAATTTACTGACGGAAAGTCCGTGGTTCGAACCCGACCTCTGCCTCTCGGCTTTCCCTGTCTAGGCTTGGGCAGTATCCCAGCCCTCGCGCTTCCATCGTGTGGTATGGCAGCTAGGCACCGAAAGGGCGCTACGGCTAAACGATTCCGATTTTCTCCTGAGGCATCGCTGGTCAAAAACCTGAAAACACCTCACCACCAGTCCACAGGAGCTACGTCTCGCACCCTTAAAACAACACAGCCCTTACACGCGACCCTTAAGATCTAGTGATATGTCTGTTTGACGCCAAAGTGACGCAAATTATGAAACGTGATTCGATCCTTTGAGATTCTGGCACTGACTCCATCAGACACATTTCCGTTAGAGCTAATACAACTACCGAGGTATGTAAAATTTTCCACAATCTCCAATGGTTCTCCTTGAATTGTATGGGATATGTTGGCAAACTGCACGCTCTGAAGCATGACTTTGCACTTTGAAGGTACAAAGCACATGCCAAAAGATGGCATGATGGTGGTTACTGTGTTCAACAGGGTTTGTGCTTCTTGAAGGTCTTCGAAGAAGAGG